AGGTAGCTAAGTACCATGATGCAGCTGAAGATGACGGTGCACCATCCAACAAACCATATAAAATATGCAATGAAGTTAAGGTGAGACATAAGTAAGATGGAGGTAGCGAGTATACAAGAAGGAAAAAGATAGACTTGATAAAGGGTTGAGTAGCGCCCCGGACCTTAACCTTGAAAGTTGAAGTTTCAGAGGAAATTCGGGCATGAGGCTCTACAGTTTGCATATATGAAATATGAATGCTCGCTAAATTTGGTGTCAATCAAATATCAGACAGATGCTCTTACTAGGCCGTATGACCATTCACCAAAATCACTCCTACTCCAAGAAGATTGAAAATGTCTCAAAATGTATCTTACAGGAGACATGGTGTAAGCTTTCCACCACCCTTGGACCGTATGACCTAAGCAAGCTACCCTATGGCACATATATGTGTCATAGTGAGGGAGATCGTTACTAGACGAGTGTCTCGAATAACTTCTTGTGAAATGAGTCTTTCAAGGATAGTGTCGGACAATGCGAGTGTGCCAGCATTGCACCCTTGCCCATGTGTTAGAGGTTGGTATATGCACTCGCTATCTAGTATGAAATCCATAAATGATATGACGCGGACACGAGAGGGTCCAATGTCTCGATAGAATCTGGATAGATGGAGGTGTTGGGATGTCCCAACATTACGAAATGACATATGGGGTCATTCTCGAGGGGCATGACCGAGTGGGCTTCAATGGTTGATGACAATAGGGAGTTGGGATGACATCAAGATATGTTGGTCGTGTTAGCTTGGAACCAAGATGACAAGTTAAGATGTGACATTGTACATGAGAGATCTTGGCCCAAGTAGAGAAAAGGTCGAACCGAATAACTTGACCTAGTATAGGGGTAATATACTTCCTCCACAACTCAATCCAACCGAACCCAAAAATATAGGGATTTGGTTACTCAGTCTCATCAATCTGGCTTCCTATATTATCATGCTTTTGGGTTGTGTTCGGGCCATTTTCATAGAGGTACCATTGGTAACTTTTTTTTTCTTGAACGAGCACCCATTGAGACGTTTAGAAAAACTTGTTTCTCATTTTGGTCTTTTACTATTTTCACTAGAGATGTGAACTTCATCACCATATTTCTTGTGTGCAATCAAGACTCAAATTAGAGGAGATTGTCGAAGAGGTTCATAGAACAAGACGCTCGATGGTTCTTAATTTAGTAGTGGGTTTGTTGGATCGGTCCAAAATATTTAGTTCAGTTTGATCAGATTCAATTAGATCGATTCGATCCAACCGCTTTTGCTTACTTAGTTCAATTCCCAAGGTTAGTATGTCTCCATTCCTCTTATTCAAAGTGAGAATTTCATGGATTTAGCTATTTGGCAAGTAACTTCTAACTAAAGGGAGATTTTGAGCTTGCTTGTATTTGAAATTAGGTAAAGAACAATCTTGTTCGGTGATAAATGCTTTTAGTTTTTCAGTTAAACGTGTATAATGTGATTGATTTATCTTGTGATAAAATAATTTTTGGAACCTAGACGTTGTATGATTGAGTAATTAGTCATTAAAGTCATCGAAAAGAGTGATCGATGTTACCATACTGAGGGAGCCTATATTTTATTTTCTGGGTTTCGGGGGATCAAATTTTTTATTTTGGTTACATAACGATAGTCCATAACTTTTTAAATCTGATCTCAAGCGGATGGGCTAGTTGATTAGGGTTTCTATGTTTTGGTTAGATCAAGCTAATCGACCCTAATCTAGGGCAAGTCACGAGCGAATGACCCTTTTTTAAAAGAAAAATTGTCTCTTGATCTGCGACATATTACCATATATATGTACGAATATCTAATTCCGACACAAGTTTTTCTTACTGAGTATTTTTAATACTCAATTTTCATTTTTAGCTAAATGAACATTATATCAATTGAACTCTGATGTGTGGAAACCAAATATTTTATTCAAAATTTTAAAAGACGCTTACGAAGTAAAGTATGTCATGTTTAGTTCAATCACTAAAAATTACGATATTAAATATATTGATTTATTATGATTTTTTTTTTAATTTTTAATAAATATTATATTGAAAAATGAAAACTTTGAAATAATAATAAACGGAAAAATATTATCCGCGGAAAATTCGATACCCACAAATTTTCTATAAATTTTTTTTTTGTGCTGATTAATACAAAAATAAATAGAGAATTTCGCGGAGATAAAGAATTAAATAGGTGGTGAGGATTGGGATGGGGAAGGCTTCTCAACCCCGATCCGTTCGATGGACATCTCTACCCAAGGTTGCCATATAAGGCAATCTCAAGCTAACACATTATTCACTTTGTCGAGACATACAAAAATGTTGGTATGAGAGGAGATCTACGAGTTAAGTAATTTTTTTCGAATATTAAAAAAAAAAGTGCTTCTGACTGGTATACCGATCTCGAGCTTTGACAAAGTCAATTCCAAGCAATAGAAAGGTGTATCAATTATTAATTACATAAACAATGGGAGAACTCTAAGTCGACTACAAGGATCAACTCATCGAACTGCCTGCGCATCCAAGTCCCCACAATTTTGAAGAGTTAGCAATTTGTGCCATGACATAGAGTCATTTTGATGCTTTCATATATATATATATATACACACGTGCATATATATATATATATATATATATATATATATATATATATATATATATATATATATATATATATATATATATNACATGCAAAATATTCTTACTTAACCAATTTGGATTAAAAACAAAACTTTGAAATGCTAAATTTAATATTTGCTGAAAATATATAGATTAAAAATGATCCAATTTTAAATTTAAGTACTAAATATTAGGTCAATGGTTGGTTGGTTGCAATTCTAAATTTCAAGATTTAATTTATTTATAAAATATTAAAAAATAGGCATTATAATTATAATATAATACCCATTACTTCATTATATATTTACATTTTAATTATTATATTTATTTAAAATTTTGAATGTACAAAATTATGTTGAAGTGAAATAGTGGGCTCAATTGTGGATTGGGCTGAAAACGAAATTGATGATAAAGGCCCAAATGATAATGGGCTCAAAAGATAAATAATAATATAAATATAAAAAGATATAATTTAATAATATAAAATAGATTAATTATGAAAGAGACACAAAAGGTATGGGCCTCGAAGAACATGCGGAGGTTCCTTTATTAATTAATTAATTAATTTATTTATTTATTTAGAAGTAGTTTGATAACCCCAATTACACGCATAACTTTAAATTAATTAATTAATTAATTAATAATAATAAGGAGATTAAAGGTTGAATAATAGGGTAAAGCCAAGAAATTAGGGCTCTCTTTTTAGTATCTTTCTATCTCTCTTATCAAGGAAGACTCAAAACCATCAATCATATCAAGAAAATAAAAATACTATTTTTGTTTTTATTAAATAAATAAGACCATCAGAGATACAATTATATTTTAATTTTGGATAATGTTGGCAAAAAAGAAATAAATATAAAAATAAAAATTATAGGACGTAAATTTTTAGATTAAACTGTTATTTTCAGTTTTATATACTTCTCAAACCTCTTGATGAATGATAATAATTATTATTATTTTATCAAACTTGATAAAAAAAATAAAAAAAATAAAAACATTACCCAAACTAATAGTAAAGACTATTTTTAAAATTTTAAAAGTGGAGGCTAAAATGAAAGTTGAAGAACCAAAAGATACGTAGTAATAACCGTCATGGTCTAGATTATGGCTACCATCATCATTGTGCTTTTTATGATATGATGGATGACCTAGTGCATGACCAAGAAAGACATATTTACGAATGATTCTTTAAATAGTATTGTATTTAATTTGTGATGTTCTATAGTCATATATAAACAAAGTGGTTCTAAAATAGAGATGTGTCTATTGACTTCACATGGCTCCACTTCAAATGAGATAGGGATCCACGTTTAAACAAAAAATGGGAGAGTTAGTAGAGAGAGATTTCGCTCCATAATATAAACGGGACCCGGGCAAGCTCCATAATATAAAATGGTTTTCATTATTTGCAACACTAAAAATTTCTCATGAGCTTCTTTCATTCTCGATAATGAGGATGATAGCTTCTCGATAAACAGGGCAAGCTGTCTTCTTTCACATACATATTAACAAATACATATATATATATATATATATATATATATATATATATATATATATATATATATATATATATATATATATTTGATTATTTGATAGTAAGTAATTGGAGGGAAAAAATCAAGTACATGTGAACTTATTTATGTATAAAATTGTTAGTAAAAGGAATTGATTCTACAAAATAGATCCTAATAATTTAAGATTCCAATCATGTGCAATCACGTGATTTTTATTTTTTATTTATTTTTATTTTTAAGTTCTTCTTTTTGACTTATTATTATTTTTAGGTGATTTATGTGCGAACACGTGTGATCTGCCAATGAGTTAAATTCTTTTTTTTTTTCCTGAAAGTAAGTTAACTATTTTTTTTTTTTATTAAAAGCTAATTATTTTTCCACATATTTTATTCCATTTTTCTTTTATTTAGCTGCGTTATGGTTCAAGCAAATTTGTAATTTTGCAACTATTATTTTTTTTAGATAAAATAGAGTGTTAATGACTTGATATCAGGTCAATAAAAATCGTTCCGTTCACATGGCTCAATTGGACCAACCCGAAAATGGTTAAAAAATAAAGTTACAATTCAACTCAATCTTACCATTCTTCTAAAAGGATTAAAAAAAACTTGTGACCGAAATCAAATATGGTTTTTTAAATAATTAAAAAAAAAAGAGCAATCTAACCTAACTCGACCCAAAAAAAGAGCAATCTAACCTAACTCAACTCGAAAAAGTAAGGATGAGTTGGGTTGGGTTAAGCGGGTAAAAAGGGGTAAGTGCCAAGGAGAAGACAACAAAAACAATGAAAACGTTAAAATAGGAAAGCAAGCTGCCGGTGGCTCAGCATCGTTTTCAGTCCTAACACACCATCGATATAGACAAAGACATACAGCATTGAAATACACTGAGATTTAGAACCACAATCAAATTCTCCAGTTTTTACACAATAACAACCAAGTAAGTTATATAAGCACCACCATACATAATAAATAAGTAAAAACAAACATAATTACCCCGACCCCCCTCGGCTACTACAACTCGACCAACAGAAATGCATCGGAATGAATCGAATCATCGGGAAGCTAAATAAACACGACAGACAACACACCGAATATCTTCGTGGGGGGTGGGGGCACGGGCACACACCATATCTCAAGAACAACCACAGAATTGAGTTTTTATCCAACCATGTTACATGTCTTCCTCAATGGGGACCTCCCCAGCTAGGCCGACCTCTGGTTATCACATGCAAACCAACCAGAAGCCTTGTGTTTTGCTTTTGCTACTTCCATCAGAAAGATCCAAATCTTTTTCCCTTTTATTTCTATCTCTACTAGATCCCACCCTTTCTTGATCTACTACCACCCCGTTTTAAGATTCGAGTTTCGATACGTCTCTGCTAGATCTATTGTATTTCATATGACTCCTTACCAGTTGTCCAGCTGCTATGGCAGACATGAGGGATAGCTCGCCTGCAAGAACAGAACCAGCCACTACGGTGGCTAAAAGCCTCGAGTTTGCTCCCGGAGATTCTTTGTTAGCACCCTTCACACCGAGAAGATTCAAACACGCGGACTGAGACGCGAGTTGAGTTCCACCTCCAACAGTACCAACCTGAAGTGAATAAGCAAGAAAGTATAATGATTTGAGTGTGAGATATAAGGATTATATGTAAAAACGATGAATGTAATGTATTAGTGACCTCAATGGAAGGCATCGTGACCGAGACGTGCAAATCTCTTCCGTTGTTTACAGCTTCCATCATAGTGATGCAGTGAGAACTCTCTACATTTTGTGCTGGATCTTGGCCAGTTGCTAAGAAAACTGCAGATACAATATTACTGGAATGAGCATTGAAACCACCAAGGGCGCCAGCCATTGCTGATCCAGTTAGATTCTTAAGCATGTTGAGCTCTACTAGACTCGCAACACTGGTTTTCAACACCTTCCTCACCACCTCCTCCTTTATTATTGCCTCACAAACCACAGACTTTCCTCGTCCTTCAATCCAATTTACAGCAGCTGGTTTCTTGTCAGCACAAAAGTTTCCTACCAAATGAAGAGGCCAGTCAATTAGCATAAACTATATACGTCTCCTCATCGAATTTTAATCGAGAACCAAAACCAGAACCAGTTGAGAAAACTGAAGAAAATTCACGTCAGCGGCATAAAACAACTCATATATGTTGAGAAATCCATGACCCAACGCATGACCCAGTTACTGTAACAGCCAACGCCTACCGCTAGCAGATATTGTCCTCTTTAGGGTTTCCCTTTCGAGCTTCCCCTCAAAATTTTTAAAACGCATCTACTAGGGAGAGATTTCTAACCCTTATAAAGAATGTTTCGTTCCCCTCTCTAATCGATGTGGGATCTGGACAAGATAACCAAATTATCTCCTATGGATGTGGGATTTGGACAAGATAACCAAATTATTCCCAAAACTATGGCTACCCATCAGATGAAAGATGGTAACAAACTAATAAGAAAGAATCCATGACGACCCAACGCAGTACTTTAAGAACTAATACTTTCAAGGCAAGTAGGACTGTGTAAACATTTCATTACTTCAAGATGTAAGTTTGCAACTACAAGTATATATGACAGAGAGAGGGAGAAGGAGAATGTGTAAGCTTTTCTTTGCTTGAAGGTGTAGTCAAATTAGTCTGAATCTACAATTATAAATGTGGACTGCGATGTGAAGCAGAGAGATGAAGGGAAAAACTATTTCATTAGATTCTTATTCTTTAACTTAATTCATAAGCTTACAGTACCACTGATCATATTCTTCTATTTCACATCAAAAACTGTCTTAAATTTCAATCAATACTCCTAAACGAGATAATTTATCATAATTTCCAGTATGTTTCCTCCTATAATCGATCATTCCATTGCAAGTAAGAAGAAAGTGAAATTGAAAGGTAAGGATAGCAATAGAAAAATGGATGGGTACGAGAAGAACTAACCAGAGATACCAATGATTTCCATATCTGAGAAATCATGTTGAAGAAAATCAAGAACATTCTGCACCCCTTTAGATACCATATTCATTCCCATGGCGTCGCCTGTGCTGCAACAAAATCTTACGTAAAGATTCTTCCCAGCAATAGAGCACCGGATACTTTGAAGCCTGGCAAATCTACTAGACCTGCAAAATTGGAAACAAGAGCAATTGTATTAGCATATCGTGATTAGATGAAACTTTGCCATTTTGAAACCTCAGCTCTTTCCAGATTCTTCCATAAGTTGAATTTTGGATTCATCGACAAAACAAATACAAATTCAGGAATCAAATTTGAATGGGAAAACCCAAAAAGAACGCAGAAAAAATGGGAAAACAATGAGAATCTTAAGGATCACAAGAAGTTGGAACCAAATGAAGAAAATTACCAATTGATAAAGTTGAAAGGGTCGAAGGCAAGATATGACGAACTTTTACCTGTTGAAAATGACGGCCAAGGTATCGAAATTATCGGGATCCTCCAAGAAAAACTTCAATTCAGATGCCCTTTTGGCGCTCCCAAACCTTACAACAGGCGCTCTGGTCATTCCATCTTTCAACAACATGCTCGTTGCTCCACCAGATGCATAGATCGCTTTGCAACCTCTATTGGTACTGGCTACCAAGCAACCCTCGGTCGTAGCCATCGGTATGGTGTACTCGAACCCATCCAGCAATAAAGGCCCCGCTATACCCACCGGAATCTGAACATACCCAACCGGCATTTCACAGCACTGCCCTAAAATAGACTCATAATCAAATCCTTCAAACGGAAGCCCTTGGATCGACCTTCCAGTCACCCTCTGCAGTGCTTCACGGCGAATGGAAGCGGCTCTTTTCGGATCCCCAAGTTTCGATTCCAAAGAGTACGACGGAACAGAACCATTCACAACCATTTTCACAACCTCTTCGTCCTCCTCCGGCAATGGAGTTGTATTCAACGGCTCGGCAGCGGCAGCGGCAGCGGCGGCGGCGGCAACCTTGGACGTCAAAGCGACAGCAGAAGCACAAGGAGGTGCAGCATAGCGATTATTGTCGATGAGAAGGGTTTGATCAATTTCATCGTCAAGATCCCACGCATCGGGAGAAGAACGCGCTATGAAAGATTGAACGAAGTCGATACCGAAAAATCCAAGAAGATAGATAAAGGAAGCCATAAGAGATACAATGGCAGCGATTTCGGAAAGCGTAACGACATGAAGAGGCGTAGAGTTTCGGATCTTATCGCGCCATCGGTGAAGAAGATAATAAGCGACCGAGAAGAAAAGAGTGAAGAAGATTGTGTTGGTCAGGTACAGAGGAAGGGGAAGCGCATCAGATGCTTTTGGCGACGGGGCTTTCGAGTGTTGATGGTCGGCCGCCGATGCGTTTTCTTCGTTCCGATTGAAGGTACAGCTGGGTCCACCCTGAACGGCGGTCGGACGCGGCGGTCGGGCAGAACGCCGTCGGTCCATTCAGCAGCTTTTCTCCGGCGAGAATAGAGGAAACAAAAATGGAGAAAGTGACAAATCGTGGCCGGCGCTTTGGCTGGAGGGCAAACAGACCGGCAGGGAGGAAGAGAATTTTATAGGCATTTTTTCTATTAATTAATTAATTAATTAGTTTTTTTTTTTTTTTTTTTTTTT